GAGCCCCGAATCAAATGCCAAAGAATTGCTCGCCCGCCGCGGAAAAGGCGCAGGGGGAAGGGGAGAGAGGAACGGTGGAGGGATGTGCAAGCTAATCGGTTTTAGACTAGAAAAAGCGTGCTGCCCGGAGGGCAGAAAACAGGTTGCCAGAACATGCTGACTTCATCTGCCTTCTCCCTGGAAGCTATCGCAGCCCCGATTAAATATTGATGAGGGAACTCCGGTGCCCCCACTTTCTGCTCCCGCCTCTCCTCAGATGCACCTCTCCTCTGCCAATATTTAGAATACATTAAGGCCGTATGTCCCGGCACTTAGCATTTTCCGCCGCGCCGCTCCGCCGGCACGGCAGGGCTCACCGCGCGCCTCGGCCACGCCGGCAATCAGTTCTGTTACACAATACATGGATGAGCTACGATGATCCTTGTAACGGTAATTTAGCGGAGATGAGACACTGATGAGTTCATGGGTTTGATTCTCATTAATCTTTTATGCTCGTTGAGCGCGGCACGCTTTTTGTAGTACAAACCCTGCTCAACAAACAGGGAAACGAGATCCCGTCCCCGCCGCGGAGCCCTACGGCATCCCTCACCAGGCAGGGCTCCCCTCGGCCACCGCAGCCTGGAATTCAACTCCGGCACGGAGATCCTGGCCAGGCGGGCACGACCCGCAGGCTTTGAGCTGCCGTAGACGGGAACGGTCCTCACTGCACCAACCGGGGCCGATGAGGACAAGCCGGAGGTCCCGGGGGAGCCTGGTTGAGCCGGGGGATGCCCCAGGTTCCTCGGAGGCTGGTTGCCCTCAGCCAACCGCTACCAGAAGGATGAAGGCACCGAGAAGAGCCCAGAGCAGCGGGAGAAGCCAGCAGTTGGGCGTTAAGCCAAGGAAAGAAGGGATCCTCCCTGGGAAGGGATGGAAAATCCCAGAGAGTCTGGGAGCAGCCAGGGATGCTCCCCGGGATGGACAACAGGAGGTGAGTTTGGTACCAGAGGCTCTAAAAGCAACGCGCCAGGCAGAGAAGGGACATCCCCCAGCATCACCCCACACGTTGCCGCTGCCCCAACATTGTCAAGAAGGAAAAGTCAACGCCTCACGGTGTTGACAGCACCGGAGATGCCAGCGAGACCTGCTGCCGCTGCGCTGCGCCCAGGGGCTCCGGGGCAGGGGAGGGAAGGCGCGAGGCACGAAATAACCCTGCGGGAAAGGTACCCGAGAAGCCACGGGGGACCCCAAGCCGTGTCCAAGGGTTTTCGGCAGCGGTGGGGAGCTCCCGAGCAGGTGGAGCCCTCCGGACCGCCGGCGGAGGATGCTGTCATGGTTTCAGCTGGGACAGAGTTGACTGTCTTACCGAGAGTGGGTGTAGTGCTGTGGTTTGGGGTCGGGATGAGGGCGATGCCGGTAGCGCACTGGTGGTTTGGGGTCTGGATGGCACTGGTGGTTTGGGGTCGGGATGAGGGCGATGTCGGTAGCGCACTGGTGGTTTGGGGTCGGGATGAGGGCGATGTCGGTAGCGCACTGGTGGTTTGGGGTCGGGATGAGGGCGATGTCGGTAGCGCACTGGTGGTTTGGGGTCGGGATGAGGGCGATGTCGGTAGCGCACTGGTGGTTTGGGGTCGGGATGAGGGCGATGTCGGTAGCGCACTGGTGGTTTGGGGTCGGGATGAGGGCGATGTCGGTAGCGCACTGGTGGTTTGGGGTCGGGATGAGGGCGATGTCGGTAGCGCACTGGTGGTTTGGGGTCGGGATGAGGGCGATGTCGGTAGCGCACTGGTGGTTTGGGGTCGGGATGAGGGCGATGTCGGTAGCGCACTGGTGGTTTGGGGTCGGGATGAGGGCGATGTCGGTAGCGCACTGGTGGTTTGGGGTCGGGATGAGGGCGATGTCGGTAGCGCACTGGTGGTTTGGGGTCGGGATGAGGGCGATGTCGGTAGCGCACTGGTGGTTTGGGGTCGGGATGAGGGCGATGTCGGTAGCGCACTGGTGGTTTGGGGTCGGGATGAGGGCGATGTCGGTAGCGCACTGGTGGTTTGGGGTCGGGATGAGGGCGATGTCGGTAGCGCACTGGTGGTTTGGGGTCGGGATGAGGGCGATGTCGGTAGCGCACTGGTGGTTTGGGGTCGGGATGAGGGCGATGTCGGTAGCGCACTGGTGGTTTGGGGTCGGGATGAGGGCGATGTCGGTAGCGCACTGGTGGTTTGGGGTCGGGATGAGGGCGATGTCGGTAGCGCACTGGTGGTTTGGGGTCGGGATGAGGGCGATGTCGGTAGCGCACTGGTGGTTTGGGGTCGGGATGAGGGCGATGTCGGTAGCGCACTGGTGGTTTGGGGTCGGGATGAGGGCGATGTCGGTAGCGCACTGGTGGTTTGGGGTTGGGATGAAGGCAATGTTGGCATTGCACTGGTGGTTTGGGGTCAGGATGAGGGCGATGTCGGTAGCACACTGGTGGTTTGGGGTTGGGATGAGGGCGATGCCGGTAGCGCACTGGTGGTTTGGGGTTGGGATGAGGGCGATGCCGGTAGCGCACTGGTGGTTTGGGGTCGGGATGAGGGTGATGTTAGTAGATCACTGGTGGTTTGGGGTCAGGATGAGGGCGATGTCGGTAGAGCACTGGCGGTTTCGGGTTGGGATGAGGGCGATGTTGGTAGAGCACTGGCGGTTTCGGGTTGGGATGAGGGCGATGTTGGTAGAGCACTGGTGGTTTGGGTTCGGGATGAGGGTGATGGTAGCGCACTGGTGGTTTGGGGTCAGGATGAGGGTGATGTTGGCAGTGCAATGGTGGTTTCGGGTGTCGCTGTGCTCTCAAGGCCCTTTCTGCCCCTCGCGCTGCCCCACCAGCGAGCAGGCTGTGGGCACAAGGAGCCTGGAGGGGACACAGCCGGGACAGCTGACCCCAACCGACCACGCAATGTCACACTCAGGGTATAAAACGGGGGAGAAGAAGGAAGAGGGGGACGTTCGGAGTGACGGTGACCATTGCACGCGATGGTACCCGGCTTTCCCGGGGACGGTTGAACACCCGCCTGCGATGGGGAGCGGGGAATGAACTCCTCGTTCTGCTTCGCTTGCGTGCGCGGCTTTCGCTCTGCCCATGAAACCATCTTTGCCTCAACCCACGAGTTTTTCCTCACTTTTGCTTTTCCGATTCTCATCCCCATCCCACGGCGGGGGGAGCGAGCGAGCGAGCGGGCGGCTGCGTGGTCGTCACTGCCGGCTGGGCTTAAACCACGACACCCCCCACTGCGCCGCGGCTGCGGTGCTGCACCGGGAAAGCCAGAGCTCGGCGGCGGAGC